TTTTTCTGCCCATTTTATTTCGAATCTGGCGCGAACCGGTGAACCAGTCCCTGAATCAGTCACGTGGTACGGACTGCCCGCGAGGCCTCGAACGTCACTGCATACGTAATCAAAGCAAGTCTCGATACGCGCTTCACAGAAACGCCCCCGAGATTACCCGACACACGATTCGACGCTTCGACACACAGGACACGTCACTAGTGAGGAGTAAAGTAAGTGTGGGAAGTGCCTCCCTTATTTGTTTGGTAGTTTGTTTTTGTTTTTCTTTTGTTGCTGTTGCTGTGAGTGTTTCCTTTGTTTCTTTGGCATTATTGGTAAAACGGCGTTGTCGGCTCTTTAAGATGGGGTTATTTGTAATAAAACCATATTGTTTGTAATAAAACTATATCATTATAGAACAACTCTGTCTGTTTTCCTTTTCATTCTATTTCCGGACCTATTTGTTACTGGTCCCCTCCCTCACACGCCTAGACATGCCCTTTGAAAAGTAGTTGAATCTAGCTCCTGGGGACTTTATAGGATTTGGCAAAACATCCAGAGCACAAAATATGTTTGCATCAAGTAACAGATGGTATACATATTCTTCCAAAAACTGTCAAGAAATTCCACAATGCTTTTTGCACACAAAGGATAAAATAGCAAATCAGTGGCTATGAAGAATATTTGTACAACCACAAACAATATGTTTTTTGTTTTTTTTTAATTCAAATATAATTGGCTATTTTTATAAGACCATATTGACTCCTGTGCTCCTGTCATACTGAACTGAACTGTCTTACATGACAGTAATACTGAAAAAGACTATGGTGCTTTCTAAAAGCTTTTGTGTGTGCGTGTGTGTGTGTGTGTGTAATAAACAGATTTGCGTTGTTTTGAAAAACAAACTAACAAACCATCAGCTGAAAACTGGAACTGATGTTACAGACTGTGAGTGAAAAATACTTCGAGAGCATTTTAAATACTCAGTATTTTATCTTATAAAATTGAATTAAATCTGCTATTAATGAATAATGACACATCATTGAAGTGCAAGCTTTTTTTTTTTATTTGACGTTTCTGTTCTTGCAGATGTGGAGAGAGACAAAAGGATGCTCCTGTATGTACATGTTTAATAAATAGGTCAGCATAGGAGGCCAAGAAGAGTCCAGTCTATTGCTCTTATGGTCTAACATTCGTAATAAAAGTAACAGTCACTGAACAACTCAGTGACTTTTCTCAGTGTCTCATCTTCAACTGCAGTTCTAAACATTCTTCTGTTCTGTCAGAGCACCAGAGCAAATATCTGAACCAGAGCATTGACTCCAATGACAAATTAACCCTGGCTAAAGACTAGTTTCTTTAGTTCTTTAAATATCTGAACCAGAGCACCGATTTTAATGAACAAACTGATTTCTTTAGTCGCAGTAAAATCATTCATGTGCAAGGATTAGCTACCAAACGTGACTTTCCCCAGCAGGTGACAACTCACCTTAGCTAGCTAACAAGGATGTTAGCTACAGAATAGCTTAAAAACACATTTAACTTACCAAAAAAGTGCAGCGGGGCCTCAGGTCCTTCTGTTGGTTTGTCAGTTTTACAGCTAAAAACCACAGTGCGTGTGGTTTTCAAAAATAAACACTGGACTTCCTCTCAGCTTTGCCATTCTGTTTGCGATTCTTGAACAGAGATGCGCAAGTTTGTCAGTGACTACAGCTGCAAGTCAAAGCTGTTACAATGATGTTGCGCTACAATTTTACAGCATTATGGTCATAATTAGAAACACCCCTTGCCTAATTGCCTAACACATGTTGCCTAATTGCAACTACAGCAAGAAATTAGCTTCTAGTTATTCCTTCTAACTACACATCAGGCTTTCAGCTAGGTCTGAGTTAGGCCTGTCTCTAAAATAATTATTTTATTTTATTACTTTTATTCTTATGTGTCATTTAAGCTCAAACATCTTTATATTTACCGATTATGTTCCGATCAGTATTGAGCATACTGTGATCAAGAAAATCACATATCAATCATAATTCTGTGTTTAACCCGTACAACATTTAACACTATTTTTCTTGCTCAAAAGTATGATGATGGGTAGGCAAAAACACAGTTCTTATCTTCTCAAACTCAGACACAAATAGAAAGGTCAATAATGGATCACGTCTACTGTCGTGTGTTCTTTTTCTCTAGGATAAAGAGAGCTCAGGTTCAGTTCAGTTCAGTGTAACAGATGTATTGTATCAAGCAGTTCAAAGAATAATTCATGTACACGGATCTCATTCTGGTTAGAAAACCACAGTCTACAGCAAACTGCTGTAGCCAACCACCAGAAGAGAGATGCTCCTAACTTAGCGGTGTACACATATTTATAAAAGAGAATGTGCTTCTATCTGATTGGTCGAAAAAGCGTTGCGAAGGGGCCGTGGTTTATACTTTAGCCCCCCTTATTGATGGTCTTCTTCTCTTCCCTCAGTTGCAGCTTTACCTGGGGATGGACACACACACACACACACACACACGCACACACTTATCCCTGACCTGTTACCCAGTTTCATGCATCTAAAGTAGCATCTATCTTTGAGAGCTACTGTCTCTTGACCTCGCTTGGGTTACTCCCACATTCTTTTCACTAAGTCTGCACAAACAATCCCCAGTCATGTGAATCTATAACTTTTCTGTTTATTTTATTCTGAGTGCTCAGTAGTAAAATTAACTATTAAAGTGATCTAAAATTAACTACAGTCCCAATACCATTTGCCAGCACAGGTCTTGTAAACCAAACTTTTCTAGTCCTCACACTATGCACACAAAAACTAGAATAGCCTGAATAGAAAATTTCAGTACTCACAGTACATCTCTCTGCTAACATATTCATCAGACTTATATCCAATCCTTACTAGCAGATAGGGAACAGCTCTGTTTTAGCACTCTGTCCATTTTCAACACTTTGTTAACACATAAGGCTGGGTGTCAAGTCCTTTTATTCCCTCAGCTGTGATGCCAAAGGGGAAGGGGAATCAACATACAGATGTGATTCAGGCTTTTCACACATGAACTTAATAAAAACTAAAATTATATTCTATCAGTGTGAAGCTGTAATCATTATATTTGTCTGTATGTACTGTAATGGGTTCCTGCAGTGATAACTTTGATGTGATTGAATCATTAATGTTATGCACGTTCAGATGTCCGATATGAGCAAAATGTTTTCCTTTCTATCACCACAAGTTGTGGCTTTTAGAAAAACAAACAATTTCATTACTTCAGATTTTGTTCATTTACTACACATTTGTATTTTTGATCCATTTTAAAGGTGAAACAATAAGTAAATATTACTCTTTTTCAATAGAGTTTATTTTTATTGGTTTGAAGTTTTGTCTGTCCTAGGGACATTTCTTGGTTTGAGAATCCGATCCAATTAAATTTACAACTGCTGTAGGATTTTCTGTAGCTGCACACGTGACACATTTTCAATTTATACATTTTCTAATCTGAAAATAAAACTTGTCAATAAAGAAATAGAGAAGATTTCCATTTAAGACTGTTGGAAAATGATTTTTATTTCCAGACAATGTGGTTTAAAAGTTAAAAAGCTGCAAAACATATTTTAAGTAAAAATGCAAATGTGAACTAATCACAGCAGAAGGCAACTCTAAAATGCTTCTAATGTACATATTATCTAAATCTGTCATAGAGCAAAAATATAACTGTCACAAACACAAGGACAGCTAATACTGTGGCGGCAATGTTGAAAGTTTGAGCAGTGGATAACGTCGTGCACCATCCACATCTCCAGCCATCTTCCTGTCTCTGGCCTGGAAGGATGAAAGCATTTTATACACTTTAAAACTGTAAACCAACACATGCTCAATGCTTGCTGTAAGACACTTATGTCATTTTGTATTTTATGATTTCCTTTGACTATTGTTAGTAAGCCATTTGTTTGGATTGTAGTTTTGCATGGAGCTGATTGATTTTATGAAAATTATTTTCATTTTGTTAGTTGGTTTACTGGCATTTGATATATATTTTTATCTTGTTATCACTTTATTTATGAGTTTATCTACCTGAGCTTTATGATGTACTATATCACTTAACATAATGTTCTGTTAAATATTTTGATTTTTTTACATATTTACCTCAGTTAATATTGGTATACTCCTATTTCATTTAATTGCACACCTCATTTGTATAGTTTTCACCTTTTATCATATTTTACATCAACATTATATCTCTAGATAGATAGATATTCTTTTGTTATAGGTTGTCTTAATATTCTGGCTTCTGTAACACAGGAATTTCACAAAATGTAAGTTCTAAAAAATTAAAATGTTTCACAATAAACTCACCTTGATGGAATAAATGAGAGCTGCAAGCCCAAAGCAGAAAGGATTTGTGTAGACAAAGGAAAAGAGCGACCAGATGATATAGTCGTTGGGGGGCTCTGTGATGACTGGTTGCCCTCTGGTGATGTTCACAGCAGTGTGCTGGACCACTCCAGGCTGACCAGGGAGTCCGCCATAACCCACGCCCTGCAATGGCACGGCTTCAGTCGGGTAAACTTGAGGATGCATCGTTCAAACTGTTCTCAGCTCAGCTGCAATGTGGAGAGGATAAAAGTGTGAACAAGAACAAGAGAGTCACCACAAGTTGTGGCTTTTAAAGGGGGGACAGGAAGCCCAGGAAAACCTTTATAGTGTGATTCATCACTACAAAAGAAGTGAGATACTAAGAATGCATGAAACTCTCAAATCTAAATATGAACCTGCAAAGACACCACTGCCAGTAATAAAGCCTTTTAAATTAATAGCACTGCCAGTAATAGTTTAAGAAATAACCTTTATTGACTGAATTTGATTTTGTGACTTTTTGGCATTGTGTTTATGAGATGATGAAGCTGTCTTTGCTTAATATTAAAACTTGAAGGGGATAAATAAGTTTTCACAGTACTGTACTTGCACTTTCTTTCCCACTGTTACAAATTTTGCTTGAATCATCAGCTTTGTGTAACAGATGGAAGACATGAGGAAATATGTGCATTCAAGCCAAAATAAGAATTGGTGTAATTCTCTACATACTTTCTTTAGCACTTGAAATTAGCAAGAAATTAGATAATGCCATTTTATAATCCAAAGAAAACAACTGAATCAGACTGTTCAAGAAAATAAATGACACTAAGAATGCTGCAAATTGTCACATTTCTAAATGTAAAGCTGCAAAGAAAGCACTGCCAGTTACTAAACCTCTTCTAAAAGCATTGCCAGTCAGAGTTTGAGAAATAACCTTTATGTACTGGATTTAAATGTTATTTTGACATTGTGTTCCTGAGATAATGAAACATAATGAATTTAGTAATCGCCAAATCATTGCTGTATTTTTCTTTTTCTTTTCTTTTTTTTAATGCTGAAACATCTTCATTTTTCCAGGTGGAGAGACTAAAAATTTGATGTGTTCAGGGTCAGTTCCAATATATTTTGTCATGACTCTGATAAAAGTTCTATATTACTAATTGTCTTTAGAGAACTTTTGCTTGAAAATGAAATGACTATATTTTTAAATTGCTAGATTTTATAAAGAGTTAAGCCAAAATTATTCAGAAATATCAATAATGTGCGTCTACACACAAAAAACAATTAACAGTTAGTACAAATATATACAGTGGGGCAAAAAAGTATTTAGTCAGCCACCGATTGTGCAAGTTCCCCCACTTAAAATGATGATAGAGGTCAGTAATTTGCACCAGAGGTACACTTCAACTGTGAGAGACAGAATGTGAA